ATCAAAAGCCATCTAGCCCATACTGTCATCCCTGCACTGAAAGGAAACAAAGCTGCGGGGATTTGAAATCCCAGCTTTTTCTTCTCTCACAGTATGGGATTGGTGTAGGGGGGATTTCCCACACCGCTCCTGTGTGACAAGCCTGGGTTCACACGAGAGAAGTGGGGAAACCGCATGTGACTTGGACAGGAATTGCATTCCTGCTGAAATTGCATGCTATTCTTTGCGGTGCAATTTGCTTCCATACATTTTGTATTGGCTCAAATTGCACCGCAAAGTATAGGTTTCAGGTGTCGGGAGTATTTTCTGGAGTATTTGTGAAGATGCTCAATATCGGCACCAGTGCATCTCTAATAAACAATGGCCGTGGTCCACGGGGCCTTCAGCTTATGATCTTCTAACCATGGCAGGGGGGTCTTCTCCCTAAGGGTCCTGATAGTGATAGCATGGACAATCGTGCCTGCTGAGTTTCAACTCTCCTCAGAGTCTTCCTTAACTCCTTCAGGGTGACTCCCTCCTTTGCTTTATCTAAGGAATTCTCTGCTGCTACAGTCATGGCCGAAATTGTTGGCACCCTTGATATTTTTCCTGAAAATCAAGTATTTCACACAAAAAAAGGTATTGCATTAACACGTTTTGCTATACACATGTTTATTCCCTTTGTATGTATTGGAACAAATATAAAACAGAGGCAGAAAAGCAAATATGACATAATGTCACACAAAACCCCAAAAATGGGCTGGACAAAAGTATTGGCACCCTTAACTTAATATTTGGTTGCACACCCTTTGGAAAACATAACTGAAATCAGTCGCTTCCTATAACCATCAATAAGCTTCTGACACCTCTCACCCGGAATTTTGGACCACTCTTCCTTTGCAAACAGCTCCAGGTCTCTCTTATTGGAAGGACACCTTTTCCCAACAGCAATTTTAAGATCTCTCCACAGGTGTTCAATGGGATTTAGATCTGGGCTCATTGCTGGCCACTTCAGAACTCTCCAGCGCTTCTTTGCCATCCATTTCTGAGTGCTTTTTGACGTATGTTTGGGGTCATTGTCCTGCTGGAAGACCCAGGATCTTGGACGCAAACCCAGCTTTCTGACACTGGGCCCTACAGTGCGACCCAAAATCCTTTGGTAATCCTCAGATTTCATGATGCCTTGCACACAGTCAAGGCACCCAGTGCCAGAGGCAGCAAAACAACCCCAAAACATCATTGAACCTCCACCATATTTTACCGTAGGTACTGTGTTTTGTTCTTTGTAGGCCTCATTCCGTTTTCGGTAAACAGTAGAATGATGTGCTTTACCGAAAAGCTCTATCTTGGTCTCATCTGTCCACAAGACGTTTTCCCAGAAGGCTTTTGGCTTACTCAAGTACATTTTGGCAAACTGTAGTCTTGCTTTTTTATGTCTCTGTGTCAGCAGTGGGGTCCTCCTGGGTCTCCTGCCATAGCGTTTCATTTCATTTAAATGTCGACGGATAGTTCGCGCTGACACTGATGCTCCCTGAGCCTGCAGGACAGCTTGAATGTCTTTGGAACATGTTTGGGGCTGCTTATCCACCATCCGGACTATTCTGCGTTGCAATCTTTCATCAATTTTCCTCATCCGTCCACGACCAGGGAGATTAGCTACAGTGCCATGGGTTGCAAACTTCTTGATAATGTTGCGCACTGTGGACAAAGGCAAATCTAGTTCTCTGGAGATGGACTTGTAACCTTGAGATTGTTGATATTTTGCCACAATTTTGGTTCTCAGGTCCTCAGACAGTTCTCGTCTCCTCTTTCTGTTGTCCATGCTTAGTGTGGCACAGACAGACACACAAATGCAAAGGTTAAGTGAACGTCTCTCCTTTTTATCTGCTTTCAGGTGTGATTTCTATATTGCCCACACCCTGTTACTTGCCCCAGGTGAGTTTACAGGAGCATCACATGCTTGTAACATTCTTATTTATCCGCAGTTGTGAAAGGGTGCCAATACTTTTGTCCAGCCCATTTTTGGAGGTTTGTGTGACATTATGTCGAATTTGCTTTCTTTCCTCCCTTTTTTTTTGTTTTGTCCCAATACACACAAAGGGAATAAACATGTGTATAGCAAAACATGTGTTAATGCAATACGTTTCGTGAGAAATACATGATTTCCTGGAGAAATATCAAGGGTGCCAACAATTTCGGCCATGACTGTATGTCTGAGTTTACCGGTAAAATTGCATGAGGTATCTACAAGTGCGTGATTACTGGTCCTCAAGAGTCCATCTCCGATTTCCCTGGGGCTGCAGCCATTCCTGCACAGTTAGGCTAGGTTCCCATCTTTGTAGTTTGCAGTTGGTGCGTTTTGCATTTTTGAACAGGCAGTTTTGATGCTTTTTGACTGTTCATGTAGTGTGACTTTGATGTGACTTTACACTCTCTGGCACTCAAGTAGTGCAGGAACCTTTATATATCCAAAGTCACTTTTTTTTGCCTAATAGGAAAGTATAATAGTTCTGTTCATGTAGTGTGACTTTGATGCTACTTGAGTGCCAGAGAGTGTAAAGTCACATCAAAGTCGCACTACATGAACAGAACTATTATACTTTACTATTTGGCAAAAAGAAAATTAAAAATGCATAAAAAATGCACCACTTGCACTTTTGGTGTGGGTCCATTGAAGTGTATTACATTCAAAATGCAATCTGCTGTGGGGGGGGAAGCCCCTGACCCTTTCCAAAAAGCACACTGGCTCAGAACGTGCAGATGTGAACCAGATCCATAGGAAACCATGTTAAATGGACTGTACTGCGTTTCTGCAAAATGCGCTTAAACATGCAATGTTGGGAACCAAGGGTAAGTGGAGGATGAGGAGTCTCGTACCCTATCCTTATCTGAGGAACCCCGATCTTCAGTCATACTTCCATAACTTAAGGGTAACATATCGCTCCTTATTCATGCTGAAAGTTATGGAATGGTCATGCGGGAAAACCAGCATTCAATCATCATGTGCAACCAATGGCTGCAGCTCTGATCTGTGTATTCTGACAAGGGGGGTTTCTTCTGGTTAAATGAAAAAAAAAAAAAAAATGAATGTGTTTACCCTGTTTTAGTTTCCAAACAGAAGATAAAAGATTTTGGTATTGTTAATTGGAGCCATTCTCAATACCCATGCAACACCTTCCCCTTTTCAATTCCCATGGACCAAAAGGCGGCAATCCTATCTGAAATTATTATGTAGGGATTATGGTTTCTTATCAAATGCTTCTCAGACAGGTATTTAGCATAGTGACAGCTTCTCTTTTAGCACATGTACATATATAAGTAGTGTGTGCAGCTGCCATGCAGAACATTGACATGCAGTCTCTTTCGTGTTTCTAAATACCTCTTCTGCTGGAAACAGGACCTCTGTAATTCGGTCAGTGCTTGGGAAGAAACAGTTTACCAGCCTGTAATAAATGTTACTTTTTTTTTTACTTTTTGAATATATATATATATATATATTTTCTTTTCTCTTATCTTTATAAATAAATGTTTTCAAGTATTAGATTCCTGCTTGCTGTCTCTGAGATACAGCTCTCAGGTTGCTGCACCCCCTCTACCATTTTGTTGCTCTAGGGAGAACGCTGGATCTTTTTCGAAACAAAATCTAATAATAAAACGTTCCAGCCCCGGGGTGACAAGTAGTTATTACTCAGGCCACAGTGTGTAAGAGTGAACGTCCTCAGTGGTTTGCACCTTTGACCTCCTGGGTTTGAGGCAGAAGATCAGATGAATGAGCAGCAACAAACAGCTGACATTGACATTGGAAGCTATAATTACTGAAACCATCATTTCAGGCTTGGGGATTGTGCCGTACAGCTGTTCAGTGTCTATGTGGGTGGATAACAGCTGGAAGATGAGCCGAAGCAAGAGCAAATTACCTGTGTTCACTCACCACAGAAAATAAAATAAAAATACACTGTCATTAAAAGAGCCTTTATTCACGCTTGACTGCAAGGAAAGTACCAAACCAAAGCAAGTCGGTCTAATTCTATGGCATTCTGCATTGGAAGAAGTGAATGACCTGTAACATCTATCTTCAACTTCTACATAAAGGAATGGGCTTATACATACCAGTAACTGAATAATCTGGAAAATGTTGTCAGATGATAGTCAAAACAGGAATAAATCAATCGCCATCATTATGATTCTGGGCCTATTTACATTTTTGTGGTGCATTACCCTATGTGTGCTTTCACACCACTACATTTAAATAAGGCATTAAAAACGTATATGCGTTTTTGATACGTTTCCAATGTACAATACAAACGCACAAGTTCCTGCGTTAAAAATGGCTGTGTGTATAAGTGGCTGCTGTAGCAACCGTCGGCTGGAACCAGACAGAATCAGCAAGGGAGAATGTCGCCAGCACACCAAGGATCACCAATATGGGTCCAAAAGTTTTAATGAACAATCATTTTGCTTGAAGTGATTGTAGCCGTATTAGTGCACTTGCAACAGAAACAATTGAGTATTGACGTGATACTTTTTTTATTTGCACTATCATACAATTTTGAGGACAAGCTTTCAGGGTATGTCCCCTTCTTCAAGGTCAGTACTCAATTGTTAATGAAAAATCACATAGTTACAGCAAGGCAACTTTCGGAGTCTTGCAGGATCCCTTCATCAGCCATGTGACCGTATACAGTGCATTTTCTGGTTGGCATGCACATATGAAAATGGTCATGTGACTCAAAAAACACACCAAAAAGCAACCGAGGTGTATGTGTATGTGTTTGATGTGTTTTCCATTCATTACCATGGGGTATCCAACAATAAAAAAAAAAAACATTGGACTTTAAATGAGGCACAACACATTACAAATGTTTCCCTCTTGCTAGAGGCCATGCAATCAGTCCTTTTATTCTTCGCATCACCAGGAAACCTGGGCTGAGGCTTTCTTATCTCCATGCCCCTCTGATAGAGGGTATGCTAAGGGGAGATTACCTGCTACCTGCCTGAGACCCCCAAGCCTAAGAGGGAGATTGCCTGCCACCTGCCTGAGACCCCAGCTGAGGGGAGATTACCTGCCAGCTGCCTGAGACCCCCAAGCCTAGGGGGAGATCGCCTGCCACCTGCCTGAGACCCCAGCTGAGGGGAGATTACCTGCCAGCTGCCTGAGACCCCCAAGCCTAGGGGGAGATTGCCTGCCAGCCTGCCGGAGACCCCCAGCCCAGGGGTAGATTGCCTGCAAGCCTTGACTGAGACCCCAGCATAAGGTGGAGATTGCCTGCCTGTTGCCTGAGACCCCAGTCCAAAGGGGGGAGAGTGCACAAGCCAGCCTGCCTGAGACCCCCAGCCCAAAGGGAGAGGCCCCACGCCTGTCCCGGACCTCCAACAGGTACCTGTGTCTTACTTTCTTGTCCCTGGGAGACTGGACACCCTGTCGGATCCGTGGGCATATGCTTTCCCCTGTATTACCGGAACTGTCCCTGTGATAATACCCTAACCTCCCTGTTGGATTACAATCTGCTACAGAGACTTTTTCTTTGCTCTCGATACTGGACTACAAGTGTTTTGGCCCCTCCTTGCTATCCCCCTACTGGTGAGATCACCCTCTCTGCCATTTCCCCATTGAGTGACTGTCATTTTGTCGTCTCAATAAAGCTTTGTGCGTTTGCCATCTGCTCTGTGTGTTCTGTCCTGCCTACCCTCCGTCACAAGTGCATTATTTGAACGGCAGTGTGTTTGTTCACAACTATTTAGGAGGTGGTGCACATTTATCATGGCAGAGAATAAAGCGGCACATTTCATGAAGGAAGATATACATAATTTATGGGCTGTGGACACTATATGATATGTAGTTTCTGTTTTAAGGAAACGTTTGTTGAATTGTTGAAAATTAAGATATTATTTATTTGATGATGAGTTTTGGTGCACGGATTACATGATCACAGGGAGGCGCAACCTTTATATTTTTGAGTTTAATATCTGGACTACAGTATATGTGCAAGAACAACACAATCATGCACTAACTTATTCTGCAATTCTCTTATGTTTATGTAAACTTTATTATTATAAATCAGCTCAATATTGCTCTTAAACTTGATTTTGCCTTAATGAGATTTGTGTATATGGAACAATAAGTGTGCTATCTTATGTAATAATTATGTTATCATTTCAATGTGTTGTGCCTCATTTAAAGTCTTGTGAATTATGTTTTTTATTTTATTGTTGTATATATGAATTTAGGGATGGAGGTGGATTGCTTTTTATGGGGCTACAGATCACAATCCTTTAATAGTGTATATGTATTTCAAAGGGAAGCTGTGTTTTTTTTTTTTTTTTTTTTGTTGCTTTGGAAAGCTGCACCAAAGATGCAGTATAGAGGCCTTTTCAAAATGCACCGCACCCACAGTGCACTGGTGTGAAGAATCCAATAGGATTTAAAGTAAAATGGTTTATTGCATTTTTGTTGTGTTTTAGCAATGCATTAATGCAACAAAAACATCTTAGATTGTAAGCTCCCAGGATCAGACCCTCCTAACCCTCTTGTATTGAACTGTATTGTTGCTGTTTTGTCTCCCTTTATATTGTGAAGCGCTGAGCAAACTGTTGGCGCTATATAAATCCTGTATAATATTAATAATTCATGTGAAAGAGCCCTATGGCTTTTAGTTTTATCTGTGAGTTCACACACCAGTATCAGATTGCTAAAAAGCATTAGTATGCTGCTGTGTTATTGTTTTAGGTTAGCACTGGGATTTCCATTAGTTAGTGTACATAGACATTTTGGTTCTGCTTTCCTAATTTGTAAAGAGTAACTCCACATTTGTTGTGAAAAAAAAATCTTCTCTGGGTGATCAATGTGCATTGCAAGGAATTTAACACACTTTTGCAAATTCCTACCTCTTTCTGCTCTGAAGAAAAAAACAGTTTGTCTTTCTACTGTATGTCTTCTGGTTACTGATTCTGAATGAGAGTGAGTTTTCCATTTTTATTTAACTGATGCGCTTGACGTTTTCTACTGACAAAGGCTGCAAGGTCTGCATCCCTTTAAAAGTAATTAACCCTTTGGGTGAATCTCACCAAAAATTATTTTTTTTGCAGTAGAGGTGTCTAAAACCAAATCTTGTATTTTAGTGCAGACTTTCGGGGAAATCAGGTTCCTATGTTGCATTGCATTTTCCAAAAAGTACAGCCCTGCAGATTCAAAAAGGAAAGGTAACTTTTAATAAACTTTAACTACAATATGGTTTGTGTCACAATTATATATGTGTGAGAGACCCAACCGGGACAGGGGCTTTTGAAGGGGACTGCAGGCTAACCTCTGGCCTACTGACCATGGGCCCTGGCATCTGAGTGGGCTGTATTCTTTGGGTGGTGTGTGCCTGGGGGGGGGACCCTTGGAATAGTTTTTCTTTGGATTCAAGTCCATGTCTCCCCAAAACACACAAACTCTGAACCATAATACAGATTTGGGGTCTCTGTGACCAAACCAGCATTGACTGCTTAAAATTCCCTCCTAGACTCAGAGACCCAAAGCAGATGTTAATATAATCAGCCTAAAACAACCTGATGCTGAAGTCTATTGCTGTAATTTCTTTATAAAGGCGTTATGTGTTTACTGTGTCTTTGTCCCATTGTTAATTGAGTTACCTATTGTTTCTGTCTGTTGACTATTCCTCCTGGAGATCCTACATGATAGGATTAGCCTTGTATCAACTTGACCTCATTACCTAATCAGTGTGGGATATCTATCCCAATGTGTAATATTTATTTTTATTGTTCATGTGGGGACATTCCCTATTTTTGAATTATATAAAAACCTGTATTTCTGTTCAATAAATAGTTCCAGTTGCACCTAAGCTTATGCCCTCTAGTTGTTGAGTGCAATGCCCAGCTATAATACCTTGTTCTTGTGTTCCAGCGGCGTATGGACGGTTTGTGACAATATGCTACAGTATATTATTATTCTTTTTTTTAACTTGCTATATTTTTTTCACATGAAAGTGGAGTTACCCTTTAAAGAGAGACTGACACTTTGCCCATTCAGGGCACATGACAATATCCTCACTAACCCTGTCCCTGATCTACTTATGCTTTACGTGTTTTTTTTTTGGGTATGTGTCCTCCTGTCATAATGCAGTGATCAGGCATTAGAAGCCAACTTTTGAACCTGATAAGGAGGACAACATTGAAAGCCCTGTGTTATCTCTGATGCCATTCTATAGAGCAACAAGTGGGTGCAAGAACCAGATTATAAGTGGGTCCAATGGAGACCCTTGTTTTGCTCAAAAGGCCAAGATAACAGTCTTTTTAAGCCAATGAACAAGAATTGAAATTGAAGTGTCAGCGAGGTTCAGATCCAACATTATTCCAATAAAAGTTTAAAAAAGTATCCAACACGTTTCACAGGTCCAAGCACCCCCTTCATCAGGGCTTGACTGGCAACAATGTGAACAAGCCAAAAGTGAACTGGACAGACCTACAATGGTATTTTGTCCACTGTGAAATACAAGCACAGGCCTTATCAGCTTGTTGGCAGCATAACAATACCAATAAAGTTAGGCTACCAAACAAGGCTGCCATTTGCATCCTCTGGGGTGTAGAAGCTGCCTGCCCAGGGACTAGATCATTTACCAATACCTCTTAAGATAACAATACCATTAAGATAACCCTATGGGTCCAACGCTATCTTTCCACTTTCCTTTAGCCAAGTATCAGTTGACTTTTGGCATGATTGTGATGTAATGATTCTGATTTTGACCGTACATGGAGAAAATCGTTATCCCAATAGTCAATATTTCCATGAACTGCTCCCAGATCTCCTGAAGACACTTCAGCGAGCAATGTTTTTTAATAGAGTGGCATTTGGTGGCACAGGAAGCAGGAGAGGTAGTTATTTACAGAGTCAGCTTTTATTCAGTTTAGCAAGTTGCTTTAACAAGGTCAACAATAAAATAAAGGTTTAGTATGTTTAAGCCTTCACAAGGCAAACAAAACCCCTACCCCTGAGCAAACTACCTCATGGAGGAAAAAATTCCTTTCTGAGCCAACATAGTGGTCAGCTTACTTCCCCTAATTGAATATTATTACATTATCCTTTGTAATCATACATGTACTTAATGTTAGCTGAAAGAAAATCTCTAAATTGCTAATATATTCATTCCTTTGTTAAACAGTAACTGTATATGGTATTTTACAGAGGCAGATTGGAAATAACCAATAAATTAATGGACAGTTAAGCCAAGTTCTCTTAGGAATTGTGGACAGGAAAACTCTCCTTAGCTCTTATTTTGTCTATAATCTGGAATTGTAGTTAACTTTTCTTTGTGTGATAAGACTGTGAATTTCTTCTGCAGTTTTACCTCCAGCTGTGTGCAAGTTCATTTCAATAGGGGCAGTTGCCAAGGTTTTAGACACAAGCCCTCACAAACACTGGAGCCGGATAGAGCAAGAGCAGCTGAGAGACATTGGCAAGCAACACTTTGCACAAATTCGCTTTTTCCTTGAAGTAAAGGAATTGAGTAAAAGCAAGCAGGAGGCCAAACATCTGTTGTCAATGAAGGGAAGTCAGCTCAGAATAAAATGCAGGATATAAATGATACACCTTAAACACGCTGGCATAAGATGCAGCTCTAAGACAGGACAGAAACACAGCTAAAAGATTTCGGTATGTGAACAGCAATTATAGGAAAGAATAAGTGGGACCCGAACCAAACTCCAATAGACACACGTAATGCATTTGTGGTTCTGCATCCAAAGAATTCTTGCTGGTATCATTTCCAGCAAAGTGTGCTTTCTATATGGTTGAATGGTAGAGCAAGTACAATGTACTACATCTAAAACACACCCATAAAAAATGCAGCATGTAGGAAATGCACGCTGATTGTATCTTACTACTCCTGAACAACATGCAGCAAAGATAGGCCTTGTTCTTAAACAATCATTTCCACATTTTTCATTTGTGATCCACACTAGAAAGACAGCTTCCTATCTTTTTGAGAAATTACCACCGGCCCTAAGCCAAAAGATCAGGTCAGTATGTTACAAAGGAATGGTGATTATACCTTTATTAATACACTAAAAAAGGGAATCTTTTAAGATGGCTGCTCAGTAATGGCAATTGTGATTTCATAAGGGTGAATACATGTCTTGAAGTATCAAGTTATTCCAGCCTTTTTCAACATTCATACCCCAGAGGAACCCTAATTTCTGGTCTCAGGGAACCCTGCTAAAACTAATTCATAGGAATCGGTGGATATAATGTTCCTTACATTGGTGGTCAGGGGGAAGAATTACCTCTTTACAGGGAGAGTCAGAGTGCCACCCTTACAGACAACTAAAAAGATCATTCTGCTGGCACTGCCAAATGGCATTGGAACCAGTATTATGCAAGCACCATCA